CCCCAAAACCCCAAAACCCCAAAACCCCTTGTATCAAAAGTAAAAAGAGCAATGTGGAATGTAAAATGTGAGATGTTCAATAAAACTAAGTCAATTAATCAAGTAAAGCCTATAGCGTTAAACAGCCTGGACTTTTTTATTGATTAATTAATATTTAAGTCATTCAATTGACTCTGAGTTAATCAAAATATGAATGTCCTTTAAATTTGACACAGCTTTAATTAATACTGAATCAGTTAGCTCTTGCTGTCCTTCGAATAGTTTCTAGTGGGCTATTGGAATGCCTCTTGACATCTAAATAGCTTTCTTAACATCAAGAATTGAGTTTTAGTCATCAATCATTAATTTCATCTTAAAGTCCTCATCTAAAGAGGACAATTCAAAACTTTTAAGGTCTTATGGTTATAATACAGACTCAATACCTAAAAACTTGTTTGATGTATCATATGCTTGTATAGAGTTTGAAAGAACTGATTCGGTTCCGAATGGATTAGCAGCCAGAGCAATCACTCCTATCATAGCGACAAAGCCAAGCATCATTTTCATAAAGTTTTTGCTGCCTCCTGAATGGGCTTAGTTGCCATGATTGTGATCTACTTTTTGTCTTTTAGTTTATCCTTACTATAGACAATTTACAATATTTTCTTTACAGGCATCACATGTATTTTCCTCAAGGATATCAAACAATTAGCGATATCTTGCTCTTAAAACATCGATCTAGGTATTTAAATTTCCAAATTCCTCCTTTTTCTTGTTTCTAGATTTTTAGGCAGAGATTCTGTTTCTCAGTATTTTCTTATCCTTTTTGGATAAATTCTTAGAATTCTGTAGGATATACTCCCATTCTTGGATTTTATCATTTGTCATTGCATAGTACTGTTCATCTTCAATCTTTCTTCTACCTCTTCTTTTCTTAGAGCCATTATCGTTATCGTAAGTTAGATCATCCTTTAGGTTAAATTGTTAAAGAAGGCTCATTTATTATTCTTAGTTCATTTAAGATGGATAGTTTTGATCGGAACTATTGTCCTGATGTTTATTTAGCAAATTATGGCTGCAACATGAGTTCTTATTTTCATGATAATTCTTGATAGAACTGTCATCCTTCGACTCGATATCCTGACTCTAATCTGCTGATATCAAACCTTAGTAAGCTTATTGATTGAATTGACTCTAGTTCGCATCTTTTATATTCATTATTGCATCCTCTTACTATTATTAAGGTGGGCAAAATGGCAAAGTTATCTTCATCTATAAGTTCTGGTTTCCCGAATCCATCATCATCATTGCCTCACATGGTTGTTGATTGAACTCCTGCTTTTTAATCATCATCAAGTTTGGAAGTCCTAGTAGATTAGAATTAAATTACTAGGGTTGACTTTAGACAATTGGATTATTCATGAAAGACTGATTTCCTAGCTCAGGTTGGAACCCTTTGAAAAATGAAAATTGAGGAGATAACTCACTTTAGGAGTAAGTAAACTCCTCCTGGTGGCCTTTAAAATACATGTCTCTCCAGTTTAATTGCTCAAAATCTTATAAAAGTCCAAGATTCTTCTTTTAATTCATTTCTTTTGTGATAGTAAATAATATATATATTTTTTAACTAGGAGCTCCGAGTTAAGGTTATCATTAATACAGATCCCTCAAATTTAATTACGTGGATTGTCTTATAAGCTTTTAAAGGCTTTAAATCATATGAATATTAGCTCACTTTTTTATTCAGCTAATCTGGTCTTAAGGGGTTTTGGGGTTTTGGGGTTTTGGGGTTTTGGGG